CCAGAAAATAAATGATGAAATTGTGATATATTCATGCATTAAAATACTAAGCAAGAAAAAGAAACAAACTGCTAATATATATATTAATATGGATGAATCTCATAAACATTAGATTGAGTGAAAGACAGATGAAAGAGAGTACATATTATATGATTCTACTTATATGAAGTTCAAGAACAAGCATACTATAATTCCAAGAGAAATATAATGTAGGCCTCTTATATAATTTTAAATGTTCTAGTAGCTGCATTTAAAATAAAACGAAACAGGTTAAATTCATTTTAACATTTTATCAAGTACAGGCAAAATAGTTTAACGTGTAATGAAAAATTTTAATGAGATAGTCTTTTAAAAAAATCAACTCTTCAAAATCTGGTGTATATTTTACTCAGACAATATTGCAATTTAGATCACTAAAATTTGAGGTGCTCATTTGTCATATGTGGCCAGTGACTACCATAATAGATAGTATAAAGATATATAAATTAAAGTTTAAAACATTCCTGCTTAGCATATCAAAAATAGAAGGTACAGCCGAGGCCGGTTTGGCTCAGTGGATAGTGTGTCGGCCTGCAGACTGAGGGGTCCTGGGTTCGATTCCAGTCAAGGGCATGTGCCTTGGTTGCGGGCGCATCCCCGGTGGGGGTTGTGCAGGAGGCAGTTGGTCGATGTTTCTCTCTCATCAACGTTTCTAGCTCTCTAGCTCTCTCCCTTCCTCTCTGTAAGAAAAATCAACAAAATATATTTTAAAAAAAAATAGGAAGTTAGAAACTTGACCCTCCTCTCTGTAAGAAATCAATAAAATATATTTTTTTTAAAATAAAAATAAAAGGTACAAAGATATAAAGTTTCAAACATTCCTCTTTACATATTAAAAAAATAAAATGTATTTACTTTAGTTTAAAACAACCCTTTCCATTTCCTCATCCTCTTATCTCAACCCCCAAAACCTACTAAAAAGCAAAATCTGAATCAAGAGAATGTAAAAGAAAACAATACGGTTACAAAGCCAAACTTTTAAACCACTCAAAAATTAAATCAGCAACATTCATTTCCTTAATTACATTTGAACCGTACCTCCATAAATCCATCTCTACCAAAGCCAAGAATATAAATTCTTTGTATTTTGAAAAACTGTCCGATTTCAATTTTAAGGCTATAAATTATTAACCTTCATCAAACAGATCTTTGACATTGTATCAAACCATTTCTTCACATCTTTCTGGGATTGCCACAAGTACTTATTTTTCAAAAGTTATAACTGCCATAAAATTATAGGAAGGAAAAGTATAATTATACAATTAGAAATTTTCATGTTTCTCATTTTCATTTTCTAAAACAATGCCATTTTTATACTTTCTGAATCAAAGAGAGTTAAGTAATACAACCAGAGATTCATCTACATTTGGAGAAGAGAAGGAAAAAATACTAAAAGGAAGCATCTCCCCTGTTAAAAGTAGTTGTGTCTCATAATATTTACATATATATTTACATATATAACTTGCATATCTACACTACAAACCACAGAAGTGCTCGGAGAAAATTTAACTAATTATTCTTACAATTTTTCCTTGGACTTAATAGGTTGCTGAGGTATTAGGAGAGAACAAGAAGAGGAAAGCAAGATCTTAATGTTCATCTTTTTTTTTTTATTCTTAAAGAGTTTGAGTAAAACTGATGACAGAAGCTGGGGAGCAAGATCTCAAATGCTCCTTGTCATTTAATTTTTTTACTATAGTCAGAGAGATGTGTTTTCCCACTAGGATTGTTCTCTTAAGGCAAAAAAGATGTCATTACATCCACCCATTCTCTACACAAAAATCCTTCTCATGGATTCTGGGTTTCAATCATTGAAGAGGGGATAAGAGGAGAAGGGGAAAGAGAAGAGGGAGGGAAGAGGAATATATGGTCAAAATAAAGACTTAAATGTAAGACCCGAAACCATAAAACACCTAGGAGGAAAAACATACATAGTAAACTCTTTGACGTTGCTCTTAGCAATATCTTTTTAAAGATGACTCCCCAAGTAATGGAAATAGAAGAAAAAAACAAGCAAATGAAACAACATCAAACTCTAAAAACTTAAAAATAAAAAAACAAAGACAACTTACTAAATGGGAGGAGATATTCACAAATGATATATTGGAAAGGAGTTAATATCCAAAATACATGTAGAACTCATACAAGTTAACACCAAAAAAGCAAACAATCTGACTAATAGGCAGAATATCTGAATAGGCATTTCCCCAAAAAGGGCATACAATTGAAAATAACTGTCCCATTTCAATTTTAAGGCTATAAATTATTAACCCTCATCAAACAGATCTTTGACATTGTATCGAACCATTTCTTCACATCTTTCTGGGACTGCCACAAGTGATATTTTTTTTTTAAAGTGATAAAATAAGTACTTGTGAAAAGATGCTCATCACTAATCACCAGGGAAATGCAAATTAAAGTCACGATGAGATAATAACTCACACCTCTCAGAATAGCTATCATCAATAAATCAATAAACTATAAGTATTGGTGAGGATGTAGAGAAAAGGTGATCCTTGTGCACTGTTGGTCAGACTGTAAATTGGTATAACTATTATGGAAAACAGAATGAAAGTTCCCCAAAAAATTAAAAGTAGAACTACTATATGGCCCACTTCTGGATAGCAATTCCACTTCTGGATATTTACTCAAAGAAATTCAAAACGCTATTTCAAAAAGATATATGCACCCCTGTGTTAACTGCAGCTTATTTATAATAGCCAAGATATGAAAGTAACTTAAATGTCTATCAACAAACTACTGGATAAGGAAGACTGGTAGTTATATACTATAAAATATTACTCAGCCATAAAAAAAATATGAAATCTTACCATTTGTGACAACATGGCTAGGCTTTCAGGCTGCCCTAGCCAGTTTGGTTCAGTGGATAGAGCGTTGGCCTGATGACTTCAGAGTCTGGGTTTGATTCTGGTAAAAGGCATGTACCTAGTTTGCAGGCTCCTCCGTGGCCGGGGCCCAGATCAGGGCTTATGCAGGAGGCAACTAATCAAAGTGTCTCTCTCACAGTGATGTTTTTCTCTGTTTTTCCCTCTCTCTTCCACGCTCTCCAAAAATCAATGGAAAAATATCCTCAGGTGAGGAAGAGGTGAGAGGAGGCAGGGGATAGAGGTAAAGGGAGAGGAAAAACGGGAAAGGAGGAAGGAAAGGAAAAAGGAAAGAAAAAGAAAAAGAAAAAAGAAAAGAAAGAACTGTCATAGTCTATGAAAAAGACATCTTAAAAATGTCGAAAGAAAGTTGTCATTTTCTCATGGTGAAGGGATTGGAGTCCGTGTTGATGAAAACACCTTGGAGGCTGTGGTGGCTGGCAGTGGCAGCAGCAGTGGGGTGATGGGGGCAGCACCTTCCCCTGATCAGCCCAATTGTCTCCTACAGAGGTAGGCCAGACTATGGCTTAGGCTCCATGGGGAGCAGGCCTAAGTCATCAGTAGGACATCCCCTACAGGCTCCCGGATTGCAGAGGGTGCAGGACAGGCTGAGGGACACCTCCCTCCAGTGAATTTTGTGCATCGGGACTGTGTGTGTGTGTGTGTGTGTGTGTAAAAGGCTAAGTTGTCTCACGCATGCACGATACATATAAAGCTCTCACTGGTGCCAATCGCATGTGTTTCGATCTGTCAGTGTTGATTGTGAATTTGGTTGACACTTCTATCATAGAGAAAGGACAAATAGTGATATTAAAATATTTCTTCTAATTAATTTCCTTTCAATGTGCACAAATTCATGCAACAGGCCACAAGTAATATAGTAAAATGACACACAGAGTCCAGAGTCCACATTCCTAGCAAAGTAAACAACTATTTCATATTCATCAATAGACAAAATATTTATTCTAATTAATTTCCTTTCAATGTGCACAAATTCGTGCAACAGGCCACTAGTAATATAGTAAAATAACACAGAGTCCAGAGCACACATTCCTAGCAGAGTAAACAACTGTTTCATATTCATAAACAGACATCTTTATAAGTTTATTTCTGATGGTCTTAGGCTCTACATCAGCGGTTGAGAACCACTAGCAGGGCCATCAGAAAACACAGATATTTACATTATTATTCATAACAGTAGCAAAATTACAGTTATGAAGTAACAATGAAAATAATTTTATGGTTGGGGGTCACCACAACAGAAGGAACTATATTAAAGGGTCAAGACATTAGAAAGGTTGAGAACCACTGTTCTATAATAAGAAAATAAATATATAGGGAGACGGTGTGTAGAGGTGGAAAAGTGTATGGGGGGATAAATTATGATTTTTTTATATATTTTTTAAAATATATTTTATTGATTTTGTATAGAGAGGAAGGGAGAGAAATAGAGAGTTAGAAACATTGACAAGAGAGAGTCATCGATCAGCTGCCTCTTGCTCGCCCCCTACTGGGGATATGCCCGCAACCAAGGTACATGCCCTTGACCGGAATCAAACCCAGGACCTTTCAGTTCCCAAGCCGACGCTCTATCCATTGAGCCAAACTGGTTTCGGCTGATTTTTTTTTTTTTTTTTTTTTAAGAAAAAAGAAAAGAGCCCTAATCAGTTTGGTTCAGTGGATAGAGCATCGACCGTAGACTGAAGGATCCCAGGTTCGATTCCGGTCAAGGCCATGTACCTTGGTTGCCGGCACATCCCCAGTAGGGGTGTGCAGGATGCAGCTGATCAATGTTTCTCTCTCATCTATGTTGCTAACTTTCTATCCCTCTCCCTTCCTCTCTGTAAAAAATCAATAAAATATATTTTTTAAAAAGAAATATATAAAGCTATGTGAGCCAGAAGAAAATTTTAGTCCAACTTTAGTTTAAGACCAACTACCACAATAGACTTGAATACTTTTAAGTAATTTCGATAAACAATATGCCAAAAACTAAAAAATAAACATTTCTAATATGAATAAATGGTTGAGTTTGTATGAAAACTGGAGAGAAAATAAACAAACAACCTCACTCACCTATTTTGTTCCTCCAGTTTAGCCAGGAGTTCTAAGTCATCTGGACTCAGCTGTGACGGGGAAGATGGTGAAAGGGCTGGCGTTGATAATGTGGTAGATGAGGATGTAGTGTGTAATGAAGTAGATGGACTTGCCACCTGACTGGCCATCTGATTGACTGTGTATGATACTGTGTTCTTCACCCATGAGAGAGTAGAACTCAGTTTTTCTGCAACCTTGTCTGTCGCCACCTGAGGATAAAAATAAGTTACATGTATTTTAGTTTTACAGTATTCATTACCAATAACTTGACAATCCTGTAAACTTTTTCTTAGTAATCACCATCAGGATATTCTCTTTGAGGTATAAAGGTAAAAGCTTTTTTAGCAATGATTATCCTAACACCCAGCTTTGGGAACTGTTTTAGTTCTTCAACATGAATAAACTAGAATAGTGTGTTCCAAACCACAGGTTGGATAAAATAATGCAATGGGTAATGCTAGCATTTTTTTTTTAATTAAAAGAACAGAAGATATTATTGTAAAGATATATTGTCTTATGAAATTTTTTGTTACATGCATGTATTAAAACTATGTACTTAGATATTTTGATATGAATTATTATATTCATTTGAGATAGAAAAATGTATTCTTTATTGGGGTTGTAGTAAAAAATATTTAAAGTCAAGCATGTCCATTAAGTGATGAGAACAGAGAAATCCTGTAACATGACTAACAATTAAAAAAAACAATCAAACTAGGTTTGCTTTACATAAATAAGATGTAATGAGACCCATGACATCTGTCTTCAAACAACTGACGAGTATTTTTACAGAAGAGGGTCTAGTTCTAAAGGAACAAAACTATGATGAACAGTTAACAGTGAGATAAATTCAAGGTACAATTTTCAATTGGAAAGAACTATTCATAAATAGAATGTAATGTAATGCCTAAAGGAGTATATTCCCTACCAATGGCTATAATAAAGCAGCAGTTATAAGATCCAAATGTCAAGAATTGGTTGAAGATGGGTTTCTGTTTTAAGTAGGCAATCAAGACTAGAAAAGACTTTAAGATCCCTCTTCTCTGTAGGGTTCAATGAATTATACATATCTTCAAATATTCTATATAACAAAACCCAAATATGCAAATCGACTGAATGGCGGAATGACCAGCAGAACAACCGGTCGCTATGACATGCACTGCCCCCCAAGAGGGAGGTGACCGTGAACAACTGGTCACTGTGTTGTGCACTGCCCCTCAAGGGGGAGGTGACCAGTGGCAGCGATTGGGGTGGGGGTGGAGGGGGAGTGAAGCAGGCCCAGCCAGCAGTTCCAGGCCACCAGCCAAGGTGGGTACCAGCAGGGGCCCCCCAATCGCCCCAACCACCCCACAGATTACCCTGATCGCCAGCCAGGCCTACGGACCCTACCCTATATATTGGGAACAGACTCATATTTAAAAATTAAAACCTGGCAAGGCTACTCTAAAAGCAGGATGATGCAGTGATGACATGCATGGACTCCGGCTTGCACATTTTGTAGTCAGCCCTGATTCTGACACTTATAACCGTGTGACAAAGCCAATTACTTAGCTTCAGTTTTTCCACCCATAAGATGGGAAAAATGGGCCAAAACCGGTTTGGCTCAGTGGATAGAGCATCTGCCTGTGGACTGAAAGGTCCCGGGTTTGATTCCGGTCAAGGGCATGTACCTTGGTTGCGGGCACATCCCCCCAGTGGGTGGTGTGCAAGAAGCAGCTAATCGATGACTCTTTCTCATTGATGTTTCTAACTCTCTGTCCCTCTCTCTTCCTCTCTGTAAAAAATCAATAAAATATATATTTTTTTAAAAGATGGGGAAAATGGTACTACTGCCTCAGAAGGACCATGTTATGTGCTACTTTTTATAATCAGGGCAAAAAAAATGTAGCTGCCCATACAACAGCAAGATGCCTTTCACCTGTATGAAAAGTATAGTCACTGGTGCATGCAGCATTCCGGATTGGGAGAGGGATGTCCAACTGCCAGTTTAGGCACTACATCCCCCGAGGGGTCTTGGATTGCAAGAGTGTGCAGGCCAGGCTGAGGGACCCCTACCCTGTGCATGAATGTCATGCACCAGGCCTCTAGTCTATCATAAATCATATCAACCTAAGCAGATATATATATATATACAAATCCAGCTGAAAGATATAATATCTATATATATAAAAGCCTAAGTGACCAAGTGGCCAGTCAACTGGTTGCTATGATGCACACTGACCACCAAGGGGCAAACGCTCAAGCCTCTCCCGATTGGGACTAACTGGGTGTGAGCCCGTGGCAAGTGCAGCAGGGCCAGGATGAGCAGGAGTGGCAGGCAGAAGCAGCAGATGGCACTGGACTGCCAGTTTTGGCCCAATTGCTGCAAACCACACCGAGGGACTCCACGGTGCACAAATCCATGCACTGGGCCTCTAGTACATAAATAATATTCAAACAAGGCACTATCATTTCAGTAGTGAAAAAGAATGTGAACAATAACTACATTTGTTTATATAAAACTAATATTCACAATATATCAATAAGTAAGATATATTTTAAGGAATTGTATTTTATAAAAACTATCATAAAAAGAGCTTCTTGATTCTAAGACCTTAGACAGATATAAAGCTGAAAGCTACAAAGTGCTTTCATGTGCTTTGAGAAGAACTTAAATTTTATACAATAGGTAAATTGCTAGCACACTATAAATTATTTTCTGAATCAGCGTATTTTCAGCCAATCTTGGATCTATAAATCAATTCATATTGATTATACACACAAATTAAAACACCAACACATACACACAAATAAAAATCCTACCTAGACTATCTTGGCAGATACTATTTTCCACATCGGTTGCCCAAAGTTTTTCTCCTTACCTCCATACACACAGGACTCTCTCTTCCTATCCCTCTGCCCCCACTTCCACCAACTCAACCCAGCAGGAAAATTCAATGTGAGAAAAGGATAACATTGAAAAGAGATTTTAAGGTCAGAGTTAAGCAACTCAACATAAAGCTGGAACTGCTAAGACAAAGATTTGATTACAAGTGTTGAACAGGAGCAAGAGTTTTATTATCCTAAGGCTATCTCTTATTTTCTTTTCACTTTCATTAACTTTCCCCTTTCTGAACTTATTTCCCTTGGGAATGATATTATAGAGTGGATGGGGAGCTCTTACTATTTGAGGGAAGAACTCCCAAGAAAGACAAGTAAGATAAAGTACAGAGCCCAAGAAAAAGATACATGGAGCAGCTCATTCATTAGCCTTCCAGGTAAAAGAAATCCTCATCAATGCATACAATCCATCAGCACAGTTCATCAGGGCAAAAGACTAGATAGAAAAGAAGGAATAATTTAGCCAGATCTACCTTTATGCCAGAAAATGGTAGGAGCTATGGTAAACAAGATAGCCAACACTGGTTTGTTATCCTATTACTTTTCTCTACATAGTTAAAATTACAAATTCAATTGTGAAATTGGCACTAATTTGCATCTCAAAATACACTATATTTTAAAACCAAAAACCTTACTATGTAAAATTTACAGAAATGTTACTTTTTACTAATACCATTAATGTCAAATACACATACAACTTTCAAGATTAGTGCTTTAAACTTTCATTATATAAATGTCTTCTGCTCAAGATAATTGCGGCAAAGACAAAATTTTTATTATTAAAACAAATTTTAGATTTGTTAATCATTACAACAAATAAATTTATCATACCCCTTCTGCATATTGTAGCAACAGGCTTCCATTTTAAAGGGTTAGAATAACCAAGAGCACCACCCTGACATCCTTTTAAACTTGCTGAAATAAGATTTAATCTGTAACTACTGAAGGCTCAACAACCCATCTTTAAATTTTAAATTATTAAACATAACTGGAGTATTTAATTGCAGTAACACTTCAATAAAGCTTAATATTCATGGTCCTAGAAATCCCACAGGATTAAGTTATTTTTTTACATAAATCATCATGTCCCATTTTTCCTTTAACTTTGCTTTCCCAAATCTCCACTCAGCTGCCTCTAACCTCTTTCCTTCATCCTCTGGTAAACTAAGATCATGAAGACATAATAAACCTGACAAGGCTATTACATCACAAAGTTCCTAGCTACCTCACAGAGGTGTTATTAATTTATTTTTAAACATTAACATATTTTGAAAAGGTTAAAACCTTTATTAGAAAGGTTTAGTAATCAGACACAAAAGGCCACACATTGTATAATTCCATTTATATAAATGTCCAAAAGAGGCAAATCCAGAGAAAGAAATTAGATTAGTGGCTTCAAAGGCCTGGGGGAGTAGGAATTGGGCTTAGATTTTTTTTTTTTTGGAAAGATGAAAACGTTCTGGGACTGGATTGTGGTGACAGTTATACAACCTTGTGGATATACTAAATGCCACTGAACTATACAGAAGTAAATTTAATGGTATATGAATTTCATCTCAATTTTAAAAGGGCTTAGTCAATCTGAAAAAGCTACATAATGTATTATTCCAACAATATGACATTCTGGAAAAGGCAAAACTTTGCAGACAGCAAAAAGATCAGTGGTTGGCAAGGGATGAAAGAGAAGGGGAACAAAAAGAACACAAGATTTTTAGGGCAGTGAAAATACTCTGTATAATGCCATATGATGAATACATGTAATTATACATTTGCCAAAACCCATAGAACATACAACGCAAAAGAGTGAACTGTAATATAAACTATGGACTTGGGGTGATTATGATGGGTCAACGTAGGCTCATCACGTACAATTGTGAAAATGTATGTGTGGAGGCAAGGAAATATGTACTTCCCACTCAATTTTGCTGTGAACATAGAACTTCTCAAAAAAAGTAAAATCTTAATAAAATAATAGGTAAAATATAAAGTTTAGCTTTAAATATTACTACAATATGTGAATATGACCTGCCATGAGAAATAATCATGGTTCCTTTATTACTTTATATTTTATTAGAACTTACAAGGATGCTCTTAACTTCCAAAAGAACTGCTTTAAAAGATTTAATTTTCAATCCTAACTCTAAAATACTTTAAGGCAGGTGTCACTGTTTCCCCATTTCAAAAGTGAAAAAATGACACAGATAAGTTATACAACTTTATATAAGGTCAGAAAACTAATGAAAGGCAACCATAGCCGAAACCGGTTTGGCTCAGTGGTAGAGCGTCGGTCTGCAGACTGAAAGGTCCCAGGTTCGATTCCAGTCAAGGG